CTAATACAATACTCTTGACCACATTGTTTGGTTTGATAGTTTATTCATGTCTACTATCCAATGTGAATCTTGTACTTATATGATTACCTTGAATGTGATCTGGAACGCATTCCAACATCTCATTCATACTCTGGCCAGAGATTCTAAATCATATCATAGAGTATTCTCCCTCAAACAGTTTGAAGGTTAGAGATCCCTTGTTGCGCATTCACTTGCCTCCATGGCTAAGTGGCTTAACCCCAACGATGCCGTGGACACCCTGATAGAGTGACTTTGACATAATCAAAGATTAAGGACCTAACCACAAGACAACTGTGATGCCTCAGGTCAAAAGACTAATTTGCATTATCCTAACCATGAGTTCTCATGTGACATGAATATGAGAACTCTTCGTTGATCGTGTTCAGTGAACTCATTCTCTATTGAGCACCTACGTACTTGTCTTGATGTCACACACACCAATGACTCGAGACTAGTCACTCTCCCTGAGAGAAGACATAGCACGTACTGATCTTAACGGACTGTCAATGCCCAATTGACAATCCTATGATCAGGAACGTTTAGGATGTGTCAACGAAAGAATGGTCTCATGAATCTAACTTCTTTAGATCGCATTCTTCCAATCACATATTCCTTGGACTTATCGTTTAAGCATATAACATTTATATTAGACGGCTCAAACAATAATCTTTGCCCTTTACATTTAAACTACATTAGTTTGAAATGAACTACATTAGTTTGAAATGTCCGTAAAGTATCATCATATGATTGGCTTTAGGGCACATTTCCAACAACTATACTGGCCATGTTAAGGAGACATGCTGGATTTTACATCCAGAATTAAAGCCAGAGTTCATGAAGGATAACAAGGGCTCACAAAGACTGAACCGTGCACCACACAGAGCCAACAATGCATCTACCTCAACCTCACATGGGTCTGACGCACTCAAGAGCTTCACAGCAAATCCGGCTGCACTCATAAATGAGTTTGCAGCATATCTTCAAAGCAAGAAAGAAGAGGTTAAGAGTGATCAAACGGTCGCTTTTGAAGATGGAAACTCAACAGCTTTGCTAGGCAAGTTCGCTGGTTTTCTGACAGACACACAACACATGTCCCGAGATGACATGCAAGGTATCATGACTGCTTTCAAAACTGCTCTTAATGTAAATATGTTGCATGATTTTTGGATTGTTGATTCGGGTGCCACAGATCATATGACCAATCATGTTTCTAAGTTTCAAAAGTTTGAAAAATTTTCGCAACCTTCTCAAGTCTCAACTGCCAATGGTGAGAGTTCCAAGGTTTTAGGCAAGGGAAATATCCACTTAATGTCGGACAAAATTGAGTCAGTAGCCTTATATGTTCCTTCTTTTCCATTTCAACTTCTATTTGTGGGAAAAATCACCAATACCTTGAATTGTTTAGCCATATTCTCTCCTCACAATGTCATTTTTCAGGATTGTCTCACCAAGAAGACGATTGGTGAAGGGTTTTATCTAGATGGTCTCTATTACATATCAAAGAGCAGTCCCAGGGGATTTCAAGCCAAGTCAAATCCATCCCAAGATAGTCAATTGTGGCATCAACGTCTAGCTCATCCTTCTCAACCTGTTTTGTCATCTTTGTTTCCAAATTTAGGGAATGATTTAATTTCGTGTGAAACCTGTCATTTGTCTAAGGACACTAGATTGCCTTTTAACCCATCCTTATCTAGGACTAGTAAAGTTTTCGAACTAGTTCACTCAGATGTATGGGGACCAACGTTTGAATCTTTTGATGGTTATAAGTATTATGTGATCTTTGTTGATGATTTCTCTAGAGCCACTTAGTTGTACCTTTTAAAGTCTAAGAGTGAAGTGATGGAAGTATTTAAGGATTTTCACAACCTTGTTAAGAACCATTTTTCTTCTCAAATTCAAACTTTAAGATCTGACAATGGCACCGAATACACGTCCCATCTCATGTCACAATATTTGAGCAATCATGGTATCATGCATCAAACAAGCTGTGTTGGCACACCTCAACAAAATGGTGTAGCCGAAAGGAAAAATCGTGACATACTGGAAAAAACAAGAGCATTAATGTTACACATGAATGTACCAAAGAGATTTTGGTCCCAAGGAGCCATGGCGGCTGTGTACATCATCAATAGACTTCCTAGCCGAGTCTTGGGGTTTAAATCTCCCCTTGAAGTCATGAAAGGAAGAAAAATCGACCTCTCACATCTTAGAACCTTTGGTTGTGTCTGTTTTGTTCATGTTCAGTCACACCATCGAGATAAATTGGACCCTAGAGCTCTCAAATGCATTTTTCTTGGTTATTCATCAACACAAAAAGGATATAAGTGCTATGATCCCCAACTGAGAAAAATCATTGTATCCAAAGATGTTCGATTCCATGAAGCTAACCCTTTTTTCAGCAAGTCACTTGAAGCCACAGGTTAGGGGGAGTGTATCTTTGATCTGCTTCCTCTACCTAGAATCAGCACTCCAGATGAAATCAGCACTCCAGATGTTTTAAACGAAAGAGGTTCTAACCATGACAACAATGATGAATCTCCTACACCACTCACTGAAGTCAACAATGAAGGCACTCATCCTGATGGTTCTGTGGATGATGATAACAGCGGCAACCAAGAAAATCTTCAAAGTGTGGCTGATAATTTGAACGAGGATGAGACAACTCTCCCAGTACCTCGACGCAACCCTCGGCGTGATAGACAACCTCCCACAAGACTTCAAGATTTTGTCACATATAAACCGAGGTATCCAATCTCCAATTGCGTGTCGTATCAAAAGATGACTCCATCTCATGCTGCTTTTCTTAATACCATTTCAAGTCATAGTGAGCCTCAAAACTTTCATGAGGCTAATAACCAAGTTGTGTGGAAAGAAGCAATGCGAGATGAACTCAAAGCACTGGACCAACATAACACCTGGAGCATCACCAAACTTCCAAAAGGAAAAAGGGCAGTGGGCTACAAATGGATCTATAAGATCAAGTTTAATTCTGATGGTTCAATTGAAAGACATAAAGCCAGGCTGGTGGCTCGAGGATTCACTCAAACATTTGAGGTAGATTACAAAGAAACATTTGCTCCTGTTGCAAAAATGAACTCAGTTAGGGTCCTATTGTCTGTTGCCGTCAATAAGGGTTGGTCCATGTACCAAATGGACGTAAAGAACGTCTTTCTACATGGTGATCTTGAAGAAGAGGTCTATATGAGATTGCCACCAGGACACCCTCAAAGCCAGGAGCCTGATTTGGTGTGTAAGTTGCATAAGTCGATTTATGGATTGAAGCAATCGCCTCGTGCTTGGTATGCAAAACTAAGTTCAGTTCTTCATAGTGTTGGTTTCAAAAGGAGTAATGCAGATTCATCATTATTTGTTCGCACGGGAGCTGCAAGCAAATTAGTTGTGTTGATATACGTGGATGACTTAATAATTACAGGTGATAATGCTGCAGAGATCTCCACACTCAAAAAGTCACTTCAACAAAGATTTGTGATTAAAGATCTTGGGGTGCTGAATTATTTTCTTGGAATCGAAATGGCATCTTCTCACAAGGGACTATTTCTTAATCAACGAAAATACGTCATGGACCTACTCAAGGATGCTAATATGAGCGATGCTAAGCCTGCACTTACTCCTCTCGATAGCAAGCTCAAACTTGACTTGGGAGGCACACCACTCTCGGATATCAGCTCCTATCAGAGGCTTGTCGGTAAGCTGATTTACCTAACGATCACCAAACCTGACATCTCATATTCAGTGAGTATAGCCAGTCAATTCATGCATTCCCCCACCATCGAGCATTTGAACCTTGTAAAAAGGATCTTACGTTACTTAAAAGGGTCCGTTGGTCGTGGCATCCTCATGACGAAGAATGACAACACTCAAATCATGGGGTACTGCGATGCAGATTGGGCAGGAAATGCCATCGATCGCAAGTCCACCACTGGTTACTGTACCTTTGTCGGTGGAAATTTGGTCACATGGAAGAGCAAAAAACAAACTGTCATCGCAAGATCAAGTGCCGAAGCTGAATATCGTGCAATGGCCTCAACCGCGTGTGAGCTGATATGGCTAAAAGGACTTCTATGTGACTTAGGTGTGTTCACGACTCAACCAATGACCTTATTTTGTGACAACCAGGCTGCTATGCACATAGCATCAAACCCAATCTTTCACGAGAGGACGAAGCACATTGAAGTCGACTGTCACTATGTTCGTGAACAAGTACAGTCACAGGTGATTCAGACACATTATGTAAAAAGCTCCGATCAGCTGGCCGATATATTCACCAAACCTCTGGCCTCTCATCAGTTTCAAAGACTCCTCTCCAAGCTTGGATCCATCAACCTTCTGGATCCAGCTTGAGGGGGAGTATTGGATGGTTGTTTATTTGAAGTAGGGTTGGAAGTAGGGTTCCTAAGAGTTGGAAGCATCATGGAGTATCATGGAAGAATAGAATAATGGAAAGCTAGCTAATGCATGGATTCAAACTTTCGGCTAAAACTTAAGTGATGCTTTAGTGCATCTTAGTTTAATATCTACTTTAGGCATAATGCAAGCCTTGATGATGTTTAGTTAGGTAGAGTGGAGACCTCATCATCATTGTAAGGATTAATTAGTGGTTTAAGTTAGGTGGAGGTGTCATGGAGGGGTCTTAACTCTCCATTGTTTCCGTAGCTTTCCTCTTAGTTTTCTATAGGTTCCTCTATATATGTTTTGTTGTTCTTGTAACTAGAGACGATGAATGAATGAGATACAATTCATTCCTTGAAAATCAACAATTCCTAAGTGAGTGTTCGATTGAGAATATAGTTTTAGTTATTTTGTAATTGTTAGTCGAGACTATCAATAGCTTAATCAACTAAATATATAAAACTGGAGAAAGTAGAAAATAAGTAGAAGTATGACAAACAACAATCATTGAGCACCAATATATTCAGATGGCTGCACATTGACTGGTTAGAAAGGGTGGCAACGTAGAATGACTAATTGTAACAAATAAATATAATAAAATCCAACAATGGTTAAACACCAAAAGAATTGAAATGACTTAGTATGGACAGAGAACAAAATAAGGATGCAACAGATTAATTTTAAATTAAATGAAATACTTAGGTAGCGTCTGACTTTTAAACTTGTGAAAACAACCACGACTGGCAGTGAAAACGCCTCTGTTGACAAAGAAGGAAAAGCTTCACCAATGTCTGCCCATAACGTAACCATGAGTTCTTCTTTTCTGTGGATCAAAAAACTCGCAAGTAAAATTTTAAATTTTTACAACAGCAAAGGAACAAAGACTGAAGACAATTTAGGCTAATAACAATAAAAGGTGAAAAATGACCTTATATTCTGAATGTGCACATCACATTTGTATGCAACCCTCTGATTAATCTGTTTTTCTTCCAAGGACTGTACGGCTCTTATACAACCGATAACATCTTATAATTTAAAACATAAATATAAGCACATTGTTAAATACTACTTTAGAAAATAAATACCAACACGTTTGAATGGATTTATATGCATAGACATGTTAACAATACCTGTAAGGATGTCAACCCTGTCCAAGCGAGGGTAAAGTGTGTTGTAATCTTGTAGAAAGAACCGATCGCGAGGGATGGGTGGAAACACACTGGCCAATTTTTTAAATTTTGTTATCGCATTAAACAAAACTTGAGTTTCATGCGGGACTACTTTGTATTGTCCCCTAATTTTAATGGTACGGAAATCAATGATTTCATAGCATCCACCAGCTTCAATCTTCGCAACCATAACATCATACTCAACATTTGATGTGGTCGCCTCAACGGCATCTTGCTTCACAATTTATCATGCCAAGACAGAGAAGGAAAAAAAGTTACAAAAGTAATTAAAAAATAAATAAAAATATAGATTATACTATCAATAACACAAAGAACAGCACTTATCAAATTGTTAGCATGAGGAAAAAGAATTATTGAAAATAGTTAAATTATTTTAATCAACACTTAAAAAGAAATGTATGAATGCCAAAAAATTTAAGAAAAAAAATGAAACACCATGAAAAAAAGGTAAGAAACTAAAAAATTCATAAAAAGGTAAGAAAACATTGATCTGTTCATTTTGTGTAACACAGCATACTTAAATTTTATTCCCCAACATCTAAAAAATAGGGGTAGAAAAATATTTTCTGGCTAGTTAATTATTAGTAATACCGTCTTTGATTAAAATAATGAATCAATAATCTCACCATTTCATCAACTAATATACAGTTCAAAGCTGTATATTTTTGAACGGTGCCTGGGATTGTCGATTTCCATATCCTGCATATCCGGATTTTGATTTTTTTTTGCTTTCGTGTATGGTTTTAACTGATGAATAGGAGTTGGCTGTGTGTTTTCCATTTATCCTGCAACAATGAAATTTACATAATATGCCACAAATTTATCCAAAAGCATAAAAAACACCAATAAGAAAACTGAAATCATTTGTTATTTGTCCATCCATGTTTGGGAGGAAAAATTTAACAGCTTAATTAATAACCAAAAGTAATAACAATTAGAATAGAGAACCTATAAAGTTAGAATTCAATTAAAAAAAAAAGATCTAAAACCTACACTTGAACAGATTCCTAAGACGAATCAGTCAAGAATTGGTTTTAATCTAGTCATTTATGTCCAAACAATCTTCCCAACACACAGGAAAGACAGTCCGACACTGGTTGAGTGCATCAGTTTGCACATGATGACATTATAAATTCAAAGAATTCCTTCTGCATACATATGGTTGGTGGGAATTAATTTTAATAATCTTGTCATGTAATACTATGTAGCTAATTGTTTGGTGCAACCTGATTTACTCGTATGTATCAGTATGTATAACGTGATTGTGCATAATATGTATAAAGATTTTGAGAGGGAAGCTGCATGCCTCTAAGTCAAAGGTATCTACACGAAGGGTGAATAAAGGTTTCATTGGCTTCAAGAGCTTGCCATTTTGTCTATACCGTTGATGGAAGTGCAGACTGATCAGAGGGGTCTAGTGAACAGTTGGCTGCTGGAATAATTAACGTGGGTGACATGGGAAGCAAAACGTTGTATGAACAGTATCAAGAGATGCTCCCTGATGGATCTAACTCTCCAATATTGTAAAATTGAAGCTGGAAAGTTAGCAGGCATGCAGGCACAGAACTGGATAATGCAAGGATGGTTAGTTCTTTACTCAGAATGAATCTTTAAGTAGTGCAACTCTTCATTAAGTTAATAAAATTCTCACCAATGAATATTTAAGTACTACAACATTTAACATACTGTTGTTTATGCTAATCAATTTCTTACAAACATATTAAGCGCAAGAAAGCCTTCTCTTTGATTCTTTATTTATTTATCTCTATTTTCTCTGCTGTAATTTAAACACCATATTCATCCTAGAACAGAAAATAAGGAAAATTAAGCAGAAAAAGCAGAAAGAAAAAGACCTACCTGAAGCACAACCAGCATGAAAATGCCAACACAACAGCTGGGAAAACGAACAACACCGTTTCCTGAAAATACAAAACACAACCAAATCATACACTCATAATCACAACCACAACACAGAAAAAAAAAAAAACGCAGAACACTGTTTGCTAAAAATAAAATGAGAATCAAACGACACAGTCATACTTAGAATGTCAACACAGAAAATGACAGAGTCATACTTAGAATCCCAACACAGAAAAAAAAACCCTACTATTCTATAAGTCTCACCCCAATAAAAAAATCGAAGGGAAATAGTTAGCTCTAAACCTTCAAAATCAGGTAAACCCAAATTCAAACAAAAGACCTAACTCTAAAAACAAAATTAAAAACCAAAAAGGGCAACCAATTGGAAACCTTCAAAATCAACTAAACCCAAATTTAAACAAAAGACGTAACTCTAAATACAAAATTAACAAAAAAAAGGGCAACAAAAAACACACAACTAACCAAAAAACAGCAAGACTTGAAACGCCAAGAAGGCGATGTGTGCAGCGCTGGAGCAAGGATGAGAAGATGAAGACTGAAAACTGAAAACGAAACAAAAAGAGGCAACAGAGAAGCAGAAAAACGAAAGGAAAAAGTAAACAAGGAGAGGAGTGAAAATGAAACAAAAAGAGTAAAAATCCTCTGAACAGAAACATTGCTGATGATCAACACGTGTGGACAACATGTACTTAAAAAGCAGAACAAAACCCAAAAAAAAAAAAAAAAAAAAAAGACCAGAGACGGAGGAATGAGATATGCGCAGGCAGTAAGGACAAATGAGAGAGCAAATGTGCGGGAAAGAAAAAAAAATGGAAAAGAAGAGCTGAAAAGCCAAATGCAAGAGATGATCAACACGTGTCTGCCGCCCAGTATATATATTTTATATATATATATATGTTTTTTTTTTCCTCCCACTTCACATCATGACCTCACACTTTCAGATTAGACTATCTTTTCTTATATATATGTTTATTTTTTTCCTCCCATTTCACATCATGACCTCACATTTTCAGATTAGACTATCTTTTCTTATATATATATATATATATATGTTTTTTTTTTCCTCCCACTTCACATCATGACCTCACACTTTCATATTAGACTATCTTTTCTTATATATATATATATGTGTGTATATATATATATATATATATGTTTTTTTTTCCTCCCACTTCACATCATGACCTCACACTTTCAGATTAGACTATCTTTTCTTATATATATATATATATATATATGTTTTTTTTTTTTCCTCCCACTTCACATCATGACCTCACACTTTCAGATTAGACTATCTTTTCTTATATATATACATACGTATATATATACATATATATATATATATTTCTGCCACTTCGCATTTATTATATCTTTTTCGAGAAATGAGCCTTCGTTACTACCACCACGCAACTGCAATGGCATCCCTGTTTTTTTTGTCTTTTTCTTAAATGGAAGGGAACGATTGCCCATCAATTTTCTTGGTATGCTAAAAAAAAATATTAGAAAACAAAAACCAAACACACCAAACCAGTTTTTCATATTTTTTAATCATTTTTTTTCTCTCTAACCGATATCTTTATCATTTTACGTAACTGTGGCATCTGTCTTTTGTGGTATCCTGTCCTCTGTCTTTTCAAGGAATGGGTCTTCTCATTTATTATTGTTGGTTTTGATAATACCAGAACTCAAGAACCCTAGTTATCTTTTATAAGAACTCTAGTAAAACATGAACTGTTCTTCTCATTAATATCAATCTGAAGATTACAGTTTTAAAGGGAAAAATACTGAAAACAAAATGACAGCAACTCTCCCACGATCTTAGCTGATTTTGTGGAGAGTCTAACCTTAAACAACGGAAGCAATCCTAGCTGTGGTGAACATGCTCAACCACGTTTCCTACTTACTAGGGATTGTGCATGACTTGGTCTCTGCATGGCCAGTCAGCTTTTATTTAATCTAAAAATTAATTAAACTTAACCTAACAAGTCTTAACACCCTCCCTTAAACTGATTTCTACTAAAAACAGTTTAGGGTTTTAATCATCAACTTATTTAACCTTCATGCATCCTGCTTGATCTTCTGCCCACAGTTTCTCGAGATTTTTGAGTGAATGCACTCCAAGTAACTTCCTCAGTTTCTCGAACTGGGGCTGTTTGAGTGACTTCGTAAGTATATCCGCCAACTGATCTCCCCTCTTGCAATACTCGAGCTCAACTATACCATCATTACACAGATTTCGCAGAAAATGAAAACGAACATCAATATGCTTACTCCTTCCATGCATTACTGGGTTTCTGGATAACTTTATAGCAGAAACATTATCACAAAAAATGGTTGTTGAACCCTCTTGTTTTTCACCGAGTGCTTCAAGCATTCTTCTCAACCAAATAGCTTGGCATGCACTAGAAGTCGCTGCTACGAACTCTGCCTCAGTAGTGGATAAAGTTACGATTTGTTGTTTCTTTGAAGACCATGCAACTGCTCCAGAATTCAGAATAAAAGCATGTCCTGAAGTGCTCTTCCGATCATCAATATCTCCCGCATAGTCACTATCGGTGAATCCGACAAAATCTGAACCTCCTTGACTTTTGTAGAGTACTCCATAATCACTTGTTCCCTTTACATATCTCAGGATCCGTCTTGCTGCATTCATATGCATCTCAGTTGGTCTTTCCATATATCTGCTAATGACACTTACTCCATACATTAAATCAGGTCGTGTGAAAGTCAAGTACATGAGACTTCCCACGAGTTGCTTGTACAAGGAACTGTCTGCTGCTGCTCCATTTACATCCTTGCTTAGCTTTAATCCAGGCTCTAATGGTGTTCCAATCTCCTTGCAATCAGCCATTTTAAACTTCTCAAGAACTTCTAGTGCATATTTCCTTTGACAAATAAATTTTCCAGCAGCCTTCTGAATCACCTCAACTCCCAGGAAATAACTCATTAATCCGAGATCAGTCATCTCAAATTCCTTCATCATAGAATTCTTAAAGTCTTCTATCATTTCAGCTTTATTGCTAGTATATATTAAATCATCTACATACAAGCAAAGGATTAACATATCTCCTCCAATCTCACCTTTAACATAAAGTGAATGATCATAGGGACATTTTTGAAACCCTAGCTTTCCAAGGTGAGCATCAATTCGACCATACCAAGCACGAGGCGCTTGTTTCAGTCCATAAAGCGCCTTCTTCAGTTTATACACCTTTCCTTCTTCTCCCTTCTTCTCATAACCTTGTGGCTGATCGACGTACACCTCCTCATGCAATTCTCCATGCAAGAACGCTGATTTTACATCCAATTGATATATCAACCATGAATGTTTAGCAGCTAGTGAAATAACTAACCTGATTGAATCTTGCTTAGCCACGGGAGCAAACACTTCCTTGTAATCAATGCCATGCTTTTGCTTGTATCCCTTTACCACCAAACGAGCCTTGTGCTTATCTACTTCTCCTTTCTCATTGACCTTTGTTCGAAACACCCATTTTACACCAATGGTCTTATGTCCCTTTGGCAAAACTGTCAACTCCCATATGTTGTTCTTTTCAATGGATCTTAGTTCACTATCCATTGCAGCCTTCCACTTTATCTCTTTTGAAGCCTCTTCAAAAGTAATTGGATCACTATCTACAAATAGCGCAAAATGAACATTGTCATCATCTGAGCTAGTGTAGCTTGAATCATAATCCATCATCCAAGCTAGCCTTTTTCTTGAACCTTCACCCCTTAAGTTATATCTTACTTCTTCAACTTGATGTGGTACTGCTTCAATTTGAAGTGGGGTTTGGGCCGTGATGGTTTCTTCATCAGAGTCATCATCGACTTGTATCTGTTGGTTGTTCTTCTTGTCTGCAGACCAACTCCATGTTGTATTCTCATCAAATACTACATCCCGACTGATAATGATCTTCTCAGTTGTAGGATTGTACAACCTGTAAGCTTTAGACACATCACTAACACCAAGAAACACACATTTCTCACCCTTGTTATCCAGTTTCTTTCTTCTCTCATCTGGAATGTGTGCATATGCTATGCACCCAAACACCTTGAAATGATCCACAGAGGGCTTTCTCCCATTCCAAGCCTCTTGGGGTGTCATATTTTTAACAGAAAACGTGGGACTTCTGTTAAGAATATGGACTGCCCAAAGAACTGCTTCAGGCCAAAACTGTTTTGGAACTTCTCCCTTTGCTAGAAGGGTTCGAACCATGTTGAGTATGGTTCTATTTTTCCTCTCCGAGACCCCATTTTGCTGCGGTGTATAAGCTGCAGTGAGCTGCCTTTTTATTCCATTTTTCTCACACAAATCTTCAAACTCTTTCGAACAAAACTCTCCTCCTCGGTCAGTGCGCAAACACTTGATTTTCTTTTCAGATTCATTCTCAACAAGAGCCTTGAAACTCTTGAATGCATCAAATGCCTCTGACTTCTCATGCAAGAAATAAACCCATGTTTTTCTACTGTAATCATCAATAAAGGAAACAAAGTACCTTTTTCCTCCATTCGAACTTGGATTAATTGGTCCACATAAGTCCGAGTGGACCAATTCCAAAACTGAGTGAGCTCTCGTTGCTTTTCCAATTGGGAATGCTTCTCTAGGCTGCTTTGCTATAACACACTCCTCACAAACCTTGGTTAGATTTGTGATTTTAGGCAAGCCTGTCACCATCTTCTTCTGGTAGAGAGTTCTTAAGCCATTAAAATGCAAATGACCAAACCTATGATGCCACAGCCACGTTTCATCATCTTCTTTGGCAACCAAGCAAGCATTTACACTCTTAAGCTTCAACGGGAACAACCTGTTTGGTGACATTTTCACCACAACAATAGAGCCTCTCTTTGGATCATATATTTCGCATTCTCCTTTAAATATAGTGATCCTATATCCTTTATCTTGAAGCTGTCCAGCGCTTAGAAGATTTGTCTTCAAATCAGGAATGAAAAAGACATTTGAAATTGTCTCAATGAAGTCATTTTTGGTCCTGATTTGAATATCTCCTTTTCCCATCATGTTCACTGTTGACTTATCCCCAAAACTCACAGTAGTACGAAAACTTTCATCCAGGTTAACAAAGGATGCTTTACACCCGCTCATGTGATTGCTACACCCAGTATCCACATACCAAGTCTCTTGGTCAAAGTCCTCCGCAACATGAAATGCCATCAGCAGCGTTTCTTCCTCCTTTGTCTCAATAAAATTTGACTTCTCTCCCTTCTCTTTAGGAAGCTTGGTGTAACACTCATTTCTGTAGTGTCCATAGTTACCACATCTGTAACATTCTATCTGTGATTTGTCAAACTGCTCCTTGCCTTTTCCTTGACGATCATCCTCTTTCTTTGAGACATAAGATGATTTGCTATCATCTTTATTCCCAAATCGTCCACCATCTCGATTTCCACGACCTCCTCTTCCACGACCACGTCCACCTCTTCCACGTCTTCTTCCTCCTCTTGAACTTGAAGATTCAGTGAAGGTGAAAGCCTTCAAAGCTTGCTCTTGGGAGCCTCCTCGGTTGAGCTTCTGCTCATGAACCAGCAAAGAACTTTGTAGCTCATCTATTGACATATCCTCTATGTCATTTGACTCCTCAATTGAGCAGACCACGTAGTCGAACTTAGGAGCCATTGATCTCAAGATTTTCTCCACTACTTCATTGTCTTCAATCTTGTGACCATGGATTCTCATCTTGTTAGCCATTGACATAGCCTTTCCAATGTACTCATTCACAGATTCCCCATTCTTCATTTGAAGAGTCTCAGAGTCTCTTCTTATAGCTTGAAGCTGTGCTCGCTTCACCTTTCTGGATCCTTGATACTTCTTCTTCATTGACTCCCATATTTGGTGAGAGGTGTCCTTCTCGAGAATGGTTTCGAGAATGGATCTATCAATTGCCTGGAATAGGTAGTTCTTTACCTTTAAGTCTTTCAGTTTCTGTTCATCAATCTTCTTTTGTTGTGCCGTTGTCAAAATACCTTCAGGTATCTCAATCCCCATTTCCACAAGGTCAAAGTACTCTTTAGACCTTAAGAAGTTTTCCATCAACATGCTCCAATGGTCGTAATGACCATCGAACTTGGGAATGGCTGGCTGCACAAAGCTTTCTGTTGCCTTTTCACTCGACATTGTTTCTTTCTGAGACCCCTAAAACCTGGCTCGTATACCAAATGTTGGTTTTGATAATACCAGAACTCAAGAACCCTAGTTATCTTTTATAAGAACTCTAGTAAAACATGAACTGTTCTTCTCATTAATATCAATCTGAAGATTACAGTTTTAAAGGGAAAAATACTGAAAACAAAATGACAGCAACTCTCCCACGATCTTAGCTGATTTCGTGGAGAGTCTAACCTTAAACAACGGAAGCAATCCTAACTTACTGGGATTGTGCATGACTTGGTCTCTGCATGGCCAGTCAGCTTTTATTTAATCTAAAAATTAATTAAACTTAACCTAACAACTCTTAACAATTATCTCTTTTGTGAGTAGCTTTTTTCTTTCGGCTTTTTTTCAAGGGCTTCGGATGTATCACAGAGGGGAGTACATGTTGATGAAAGACGTAAGACCTCATAGATCCAACATTCATACAAATGAAATTCGATCATGAATTGAATAAAAAAAGTGAGAGAGAGAGAGAGGAACCTCAAGCACCTGGAACCCTACACATAAGAACACAAACTAATTTAAAATTTCTGCAACTAAACATTTGAATAATAAAAAAAAAAAATAGGACCAAAATTTCAAATTACTTGCCTTAAGTAGAGAGCATTTTACAAAACGACCTCTTTCGAGACCCAGCCTTCTTGCAGCTAAGGCCTGATGGTGGCGGTGCGGGAGAGAGTTTGAGAAGCTGCGATCTAATCTTTTGGATTTAGATAAGAGAGCGGAATGACGCAGAAGAGTCGAGAATAGGCACCTTCAACGATGATGGACACGTGGGCAGCAAGGGTAAAATCCCCTACACAGAAACACTACCGATGATCAACACGTGAAAAGCATGTACTGAAAAGGCAGACCAAAAAAAAAAAAAAAAAAAAAAACCAAAGATGGAGGAATGAGAGATGCGCATGCAATAAGGACAAAACAGACTTCTTACTGTAGCAAAGTGTGAACAATACGGGGACTAAAGCAAAATCCAAGGACAGTTCCACCCTTTCACTGTTGGTGAACAGTGCGCTCTATCACAGGATGAATAGTGATTTTCTGCTGAGCTTTAGTATAAAGATAATTTGTACATGTTATACATTTTCTGGACAGTCCCATTCTCCTGGACCCTATGGCCTATCCTTCACATATGTGCATTCTTTGAATTCACAATACTAAGTGTGATAAGTGGTAATGCGTGGGCTTGGAGTTATAATGTACCATATTCAAGTATTTGTGCTTAGAATAGTGGCAGTGTTCTTCTTGGTGCTGTGTTATACTAATCCGGGAAAGTGTTTCGCACTCAATGCAGTGATGCACTGAGGACATATGTGGACCGATTTTACGAACAAAGTAAAGTGTTATGCAACATCATACAGTCACACGTCCGCGGTCCTTCCCTCCTGTCCTTAATTTACTCCTCCATTTCTGTTTTTAACTTTCCATCACAACTTGCACTCTCCCTTCTCCTTGCTGCTATCTCTATTACATGGTTGTTGGGTTCTCCGCTCCAACGGGACTCTGTTGCTCTGTTTAAGACCTTCTCGTGGAATTTTACTTCGACCATATTAGTTGATCCCTACGAGATCGACGTTTCAACGGACAACACAACATCAATGGTTGTAGTTCCACTGCTAAGCCTAATTACTAGTACTTCTACGCCAAAGTCAGGAAATGATCAAGGGATAGACTAGTAATTGGCTTGAGGATTGGTGGATGTGCTGTCTTGCTTGCTGGGTTGGGTTTGGTTTGGTTAGTCTTCTGGAAAAAAAGGGAAATTAACAACTGGAAGTGATGAAGATCCTACGATTCTTGACTTTATTGATGATGAAATCGAAACGGGCACTGACCTGAGGAAGTTTTCATATGGCGAATTGGCTCGACCAACGAGTAATTTTTCTAGGAAAACTTGATATAAGTCCAATTTTTTTAGCCAATAGTAGGAATAGTCCAATTTATTAAAATAAGTTCAATTCCTTAAATTTAATTATTTTATTATCAATAATTATCTATTCAATGATAAGATTTATTATAAAAATCAAATTTCTTCCTAATTATCTCTTTGATTATTATTATTTTTTTTTATTTCTTGTTCTTCCTCCTGCTTTAAACCCCATTTATAGATTTTATTTTTAATTTTTATAATCAACCTATATCACAGGTTAATTATTTTTATGTATCTATATGACATATTCTTTTTTATAATCAACGTGTCACAAATTCATGTGTCTTGCTTGTAGGTATATTATGTTTTTTCCTACCTTTTAGTTAGGTTTCATATCTTGCTTACAGGTATAATATATATTCATATATTTGTTACTTGAGTTAAGGTACAATGTTTTGTAGATAATTTATGTTAGTATATTAGTTTTTTTTTTTTTGTAAGATATTAATTAGATTTTTTGGAGTTGAAAAATGCATAATATTAGAAGATTTTAATTGATTTTTAATATTTTTAAAAAATATAAAATGAGTATAAAAGAAATAAAAACATGTAATTAGATAATTAGGACTCACTCCTAAAAACCATCTATGTTTTTGGACCTAGATCTAAAAGCCCCATTTTTCTGAGGAAAAGAAGCTTGGAGAGGAAGGTTTTGGCGGGGTTTACACAGGATCTATACCAGACTTTGGAGTCATATGTATGTTGTTGTAAGAGGATATTGATGTGATTTTTACCACATACAAAAGTATGGATAAATATACTTAAAAATACTTACAAGATAATCGTATTATAAACAGCTTAACTAAGATGTTCACCACAGGGATTACTAAAATAATTTATGTAAAATCAAATGTTAATTATTTACTTAAAACAAAGTTTTAAAAAATATTAATTTTGTGACTAAAAATATTTAAAAATGAATTTAAAATAAAAACAATTAAATAAATCAACTAGAAAACAATTTAAAGAAAATCAATTTAAAGAGATATAGTTTCATAGTCACTTTAACAATCTTATGTAATTCTCTCAATCACTTATGAATTACCTATGCATATTTCGAATGTTAGGTTTTCCTAATATATTTCCTACTTGGAACTTTCAACATTGAACGTATATCTAATATGCAACTCATCCAGACGTGGTGTTCGTCCAAAGTGAATTTACAATTATTAACCACAAGAAGCCATTGCCAATTTCAGGAAACAATCCGACTAAAATTACATCAAATTACTTTTCTAAATATTATAATAGTCATGATAGTTTCAACACAATGATTAATAATTCAAAACATACATACATAATATCATAAGTAAATTAAAAAAAAAAAAAAAAAAAAAAAAAAAAAAAACTACATTTACTAAGCCTTGTGGCTTCAGCCTAACAAAAAGCAATTAATTACAAATAATTATAGAATAAAAATATTATTAAAAACATGAGTGGAAAACACTTTAAAGTAAAACTTGCGCGGTACCTCCCCAACCGGATAACCACAGAGAAATGAGAGTGAGTGGGGATAGAGACCCTAACAAACAGTGGACGGCCCAGATCGTTTTTAAACAATCCAATGGTGGGAATTGATTCTGACTATATTTAAAATATTGTTGTAAATTGGGGCCCACATGCCTTTGTCTCCCCTGCCGGGCCATCATCCATGTGTTCCACCGAATTCCTCAATTCCTCTCTTCAGTTTCTTCTCTATGTACATGTATACCGGTACCGAATGGTTTGGGATCGAGTTGGCATTACATTCCAAAAATTTCAAAAACGTCAGTTTAGAACATTTTTAATTTGAGATCGAAATTTTTTTTATTTATTTCAAAATTCGAGAATTTTTTACAATCCTAAAAGGAGTTGTGTGAATTTTGTATAATAAAAATAGATAGCTCCATATCAGACTTTATTTTTATTTATGTTACAAACAGAAGAAAAATTGCCAACCCTCCCTTTTTTAATACAACTTGTTTGTAATCATGGTACGTCTTCAGAGGCTCATTAGTGTTTTTTTCACGGCAGAAGTTTTCTCAAGTCTTTGAACAGTTGTCCATATTGACTCTGAGTCAACGAACTTTTGTCAAGTCTTTCTCCAAAATTATTGGTTGCCCAATAATTCCACGGCCACTGTATCTATTTCAGATGACAAACATTTGTTCAAGCTTATTACAAATCCTGAGTCTCCATCTCTCTCCCAAAATGCTTGCCACCATGATCAGTGCATCAACACTCCGATCGCAAAAGCTTCACTTCCTACTTGTTTTCTTCTTTCTCTTAACCCCTTCTGTAACTCCATTAAACTTCAACTTCCCCAGCTTCAGTAACGATGACTCCGCTAATATATCTATAGAGGGCGATGCTTATTTGGGACGCCCCTTCCTCCGCCTCACACGAGACGCCACAGACGTGGCAAAGAGCAACAGCGTGGGCAGAGCCACCTACCGCCAACCCTTCCTCCTTCAGGAAACCGCCACCGGCAAGCTCGCCGATTTCACCACGAGTTTCGACTTCGCCATTGACTCCAACAACGATTCCAACCGCGGTGACGGTCTCGCCTTCTTCATAGCTCCAAATGGCTCCGTCCTCAACGACACACTAGGCCAAGGTAGCAGTCTCGGCCTGCCCTTCAACTCCACACCTTCAAATGACTCCGTCCGGAGGAATCAGTACGCTTTTGTGGCTGTGGAGTTTGACATCTACCCGAATTATAAGCTGACAACCATCGACGACCCCCAGTACGAACACGTGGGAATTGATGTCAACTCTCTCAAATCTTCCATTTGTTACTATTGGGATGGAGGTATTAAGAGAGGACTTCCAAATAGTGCTACCATTACTTATAATTCCTCCTCGAAAAATCTTAGTGTTGCCTACACTACTTTAGTAAGCAGTGATCGCAACTATTCCCAATTAGTCAAAGAGATGAGATATTTTAATTACATTGTTGATCTGAAGCAGTACTTGCCCGATTGGGTCGTTGTTGGGTTTTCCGCTTCAACCGGTGCATCTATTGCCATACATAAGATCATCTCGTGGAATTTCACTTCCACTTCACTTGATGATCACGACGAGCCCGGTACTGCACCACCACCGCTGCAGGTTGCAGTTCCTGTATCAAGCCCCATGGCTAGTCCTACCTATCCTTCCAAGACAGTAAATAAGCGCATTGGACTAGTAATTGGGTTGGGAATTGGAGGATGTGCTGTCGTCGTTACTGGGTTGGGTTTGGTTTGGTTCTTTTTGTGGAAGAGGAGGGAAACAGGAGAAAGTAGTGATGAAGATACCATGGTTCATGAATTGGTTGACGAAGAATTTGAAAAAGGGGCTTGTCCCAGGAAGTTTTCATATAGGGAATTGGCTCGGGTGACAAATAATTTTGGGCAGGAAGAAAAGCTTGGAGAGGGAGGATTTGGTGGGGTTTATAAAGGCATAATACCAGACTTGAAGTCACCTGTTGCTGTTAAGAGGATATCGAAGGGTTCTAAACAAGGACCGAAGGAGTATGCCTCGGAAGTGAAGACAATTAGTCGACTTAGGCATCGCAATCTTGTTCAACTGATTGGATGGTGCCACGAAAAAAAATTTCTACTTGTGTACGAGTTCATGCCCAAGGGCAGCTTAGACTCTCATTTGTTCAAAGAACAAAGCTTGTTAACTTGGGAGGCAAGATACAAAATTGCTCAAGGCTTGGCCTCTGGGTTGTTGTACCTACACCAAGAATGGGAGCAATGTGTGCTGCATAGGGATATCAAGTCCAGCAATGTTATGTTGGATGCGAATTTCAACGCAAAACTTGGGGATTTTGGGTTAGCAAGGCTTGTGGACCACGGACAAGAGCCACAAACGACAGGATTGGCTGGAACCATGGGTTACATGGCTCCCGAATATGTTATCACGGGAAAGGCTAGCAAGGAATCTGATGTCTACAGCTTTGGAATTGTTGCTTTGGAGATTTGTTGCGGAAGAAAACCTATCGACCCAAAGTGTGGAAGTAGTAAAGTCAATATGGTAGAGTGGGTTTGGGAGCTTTATGGAGAAGACAAAGTCATTGAAGCAGCTGACCCGAAATTGTGTGGAGATTTTGATGAGAAACAAATGGAGTGCCTGATGATTGTTGGCTTGTGGTGTGCTCATCCGGACAACAATATGAGGCCTTCAATACAACAAGCCATTCAAGTGCTCAACTTTGAGGTTCCATTGCCGAATCTCCCATCAAATATGCCAGTGGCCACGTACTTTGCTCCTTCGAGATCGCTCTCAAAGTTGTCTGGTGGTGCTTCTAGTTCTCAAGGAGGACAAACTGAATGTTCGGGCTATGCCTACAACACCAATGCCTCGGAGTTCACAGGATCTTCTTCTGCAATAAATTCTCATCCATCAGTCTCACTTGGGTAAGAAATAACTCTAATTTACTGACTGATAACCTGGATTCTAGTTTTTTTTAGGGAAATTTTGTAATTTCACCTTTGTCTTGTTTTTGGAATCGTCAAATCATGCATAAACAGATTGAATATAATCTAATGTATTATGTGGTAATTGTCTTATTTGATTTTCTTTGATCAGGTCTAAATGTGATAATTCGATGAGAAATTACCATTGACATGATCGGATGGATGGCAAGGATGAAGATGGCGCCCTTCCCCGTCTCTGTGTTTGAGCATTAAAACTAAACTGTTTAGTTTGGATTTATTTCTGTTTCGACTGAAAGACGTTGTATTCATTATTGTGATTGTATTTGGGCTTAGGATTAGTTTGGTATTGTTGTCATATAAAATAAAATAAAATAAAATACTTCTGTTCTGTTATGCGGTGAGAATAAACAACTGTAATATAAAGTTGTTAAGCGTTTGGTAAACATTTTTTTTGTAAAAGTGCTTTTAATAAATAAAAAATAGTGTTTGATAAACTTTTATATTAATTGCTTTGAATATGTTAAATAATTAAAAAATATATAGTATTTAATATAATATAATAATTATCAATGACAATAATGTGCGGGTAAATATTGTAATTTTGTAAAACATCTGGAGGCATCCTTGCCATTTGAAAAGTTCATCAAATAAGCATTAATTACCATGCTTTGTTTGAAAAATCTGTTTTTTAGAAGCATAGTAAATTCTTTGCTTCTGATTTTCGATAGTTTTCTACTTTCATTAACAGCAGTTTTTTAAAAAATCACTTTTTTTTTAAACCAAACACATTTAATGTTCTAGACTTTTAATAAGCTGCTTTTTTTTTTTTTTTTTAAACACCACAATCCCAAACCAAACCTTAGTCTACAATGAGCCAACAATAATGTGGTTCAAATTCTTTTTTGGTGATAATCGAACCTAAGACCTCTCACTTATTTATGAAGATGAATACTATTAGTCCGTAGTATTAAATAGCTAGTTAATCCTATTAGATCTCATTTAATAAAGTAGAAACGAAGTGCCATTTAACAAGGTTAGCCCTTAGGGCAGCCAAAGTACGCGCCGCCTAGAACCCCCACTTTGGAGGGGTCCCCAAAATATATATATATATATATATTACAATTTAAATTCAATAAAAATATCAAAAAAACAAAATCATAAGCAATTGAAAAAGAATTAGTTGAAAAATTGGATTATGTAAACTCAATTATTACATTTGCGTGTAATGCGAGACGTGTAATTTTTTAATAATGTTTGTATATATTTCTTTTTTTAATATTAATTTTTAATGATATTTGATGTAGAAATAAACTTTTTCATGTATTTAGCGAATTTTTTATACATGTCAATGTAAAAAAAATCAAAGATCAGAGAACTCCACAACCTTACTTCGAAGGATCGCTTAGAGCTCCCAAACTCCCAAAATCGGCCCTGCCACTAAATATGTCATTAGCAGTTTTCTCCCATTCTGGTGTCATTAGATATAAGCGTGATGCATGCAACAACTCTAAACTCCTTGTATCTATACCAAACCGCGAAGTAGTTATAAGATTGTACACGGACTAGGAAATGAAGTAAGATGTAGAAAGACTATCATCTTCCTCAATTAATTTAACACCAATTTTCTGTAACTGCAGTTTCAACTTTCAAGCATGCGTTGAACACGTCATGTACTTCATGAGATCATTACATTCTTCATCTCTTGTAACATGTGTAGTATGTAATGTTGCTTTAGCTTATGGAAAAGCTAATCAAGGCCCGAAATAGCTACAGAAAAAACATCTACCCTTCACTGTACAAGAGATAGAAACAAGAATTCTATATTCGAAAAAGTAAAAGCAAAAAGTAAAAATGGAAGGATAAAGATTTTTTTTTTTTGTCTTTCTTTTACTATAAAAAATCAATATAAGATATTAACATAATTTAACCGTGATCATTCAAATAGAATAAGAATGAAAGGGAGGTATAAAAATAAAAAAATAAAAAAAATCCGACGCCAAAATTGAAAGGTTATCAAACCCCCAATACTTTTCTAGTCATCCACCAAAATATTGATCACAACTTCCTCTCTCCTTCCCAGCTACCACAGTAAAAAATGTTGAAGCTACTTGTCTCAAACAGCTTGCCTTTAAGAAAAAATGGTTATTCCCTTCCAATTCTGTGAATTCAGATTTTTGCTGAATCTTCTTCGTGAGGATTTCAAGAATTTGTAAATTATATTCATTCATCATACATCGTGTAATTAAAAATTATTTTAAGTATTTTTATTTAAAATTAAATACAAATAGTATATAATAAAAATTATCCGCAATCATCTTTGCCACTCTTGCCTTGTTTATTTATGGTGACAAGACGGCTCTCTTCCCCAGAATATGGCTGTCACCACCGATAACTCCTCCAGCACTAGCTTACACTCTGAAGTCTTTTACTAATTAATTCCCCGCAACTAAAGTAGTTATGATGATCTGTAGCAGAGGGACCTTCAGACAAGGATTGGCGTAGGCCCACCCTGAATTTTTCTTTGCAACCCTCCCTCGTTTTTGAATTATATTTATGACGTGCTTATTAATCCGTAATTAAATTGAAGGGAATAGAATTGAGGAGGAATTGAATTAGGGTAGAATTAGAATCAGATTCCTGTTGAAGTTGTTTACTAAAATTATATGGAATCATAGTGCAAATGATGCATATTTTATATTATTGTTTACCAATTCACATGAATCAGAATCAAAAGCAGCTTGATTACTAAACTACCCTTGTACAAAACAGATAGAAATTTTATTTAACTAATTAATAATACAATTCTTTTGTATATAAAAAACTAATACAGTTATTTATCCTAAAAAAACCTTTAATTAACATATAAGAAGCCTTTAATAATACAATTATTTTGTATATATGACACTAATACAATTATTTATCCTAAAAAAATCTTTATTTACCATATAAAAATCCCCCACCGTATGCCAATTCTATGAACGCCTTCAATTAAAAACAACCAAATTAACGCAGCCCTCCTCCTCATCTCCTTGCCCTCTATAAATCCCCATCTCCTTCCTTTCTGATTCTTCCTCTTCTCTTCTGATTATTCTTTCCTCTTCTTCTGATTCTTCTTCTTCCAAATAACTAATTAATTCCAAATATTTATTTATTTATTTATTATATTGGTCCTCTGTCTCTATTTCTCTCTTATGTCTGCTTCACTGGGTTTTGATTTGAATGGGTTCTGTGCTACCGGAGACAAGGGAAGGAGATTAAGGGGGTGTTGTGCCACTGGAGATAAGGAAGGCGCTGGATGCTGTGCAACCGGAGACGAGGGAAGGAGATAAAGAAGGCGCTGGGTGCTGTGCTACCGGAGACAAGGGAAGGAGATAAGGGGTCTTGTGCTACCGGAGAAGAGGGAAGGAGATAAGGGTATATTGGGTAGAAAAACATGATTCCGGGTTGAGACTTTCATTCGGAATCCAAATACCACCTATTGGTTGGTAATCCAATTCCATGCAAATCAAGGATCTGATTCCCTATTTTTAGTGGGTCCCACGTACAATTTCATTTCCCCAGTGTTAGTAAATACATGAATCACTTGGAATGAATGCAATTCCCATTCCCATCACGTAAACACGCCCTTATTTCATTTAGAATCAGACTCACTCCAACCCTGTTCTAAAACCTAAAATTCCCTTATTTTTTTCCCCCCCAAAACACAACCCAATCCATGGCCTAAAACTAACCTAAAATCTAAAGCTCATCCTGGGGCCAAATCCTGGGGCCAAATACCAGCCCAAGTTTAGGCCACAAATTGGAGTGGACCTCACAAGGTGAGACTGAAATCGGGGCTGTGAAGCCCAAACCCCAGTCACCCAAGCATTGCATGCGCCAGGCATCCCTGCTAGCCAAGCCCACCCACGTCGGGTTGTCCCCCCGAGTGTCAGCCATTTATGTAGCCCAATGGTTACTTTTTTCGATCCAACGATTGGATTTAAATGGCCGTTGGTTAATCCAACGGTCCAGGTTCAAATTATTTTTTTAGTTTTATATTTATATATTTATTGAATCCAATGGCATAGATCGAATATAATCAAATGTAACGGTAAAAAAAAAACAAAAAATCTAACCGTTAAAATTATTTAACTCAAAATTCACCCCAAAACTCTATAAATACCTATGTATTTGTTCAAACATCCACACGAACCTCACTTTTCTCCTACAATTCTTTCAATTTTTCTTTCTACCATTTCTTCTCATTTCCAAATTTTTCAAGATAGCAAAAGAGCATGTTAGAGATCATAATTGGAAACAAAAACACTTTGAAAGTAGAAAGATTGAGGATTTTTAGGAAACAAAAATACTTTGAAAGTTGAAAGATTAGCCTAATTTCATTCTTTAATAATCCGGAGCTAAAATTTTAGGCCAGAAGGATTGGAGCAGAAAAACTGTTTTTGGGTTGAAGCCTATTTTTTACGGGTTAAATATTATTAGATTTTAGGCCAGGGTTCGAGATGGTCTAACTGGTCAATAGTACAACAAGCCAAACCTTTTATTTCCAATTTCAAATTTCAACTTCCAAGTCTTATTACATCCCACCATTATAACTCGAGCACTTTATTATGTACATCTGTTGACTCTAAAAATTACAAAGCCTACGTGGCGCGCAGGCCGAGTAATTAATAAGCTAACTAGATCCTTCGGTTGAATGCGGAGCGTGCCAACTCATCGGCCGAGCTCGGTCGAGGAGTAAGATTTGTTGATGTTGCGTTGAGCGTATTGCTGACTTCTTTATCTTGCGACTGCGGCTAAGGAAGGAACAAATCTCGGCCTTTGGATTCTCGAGCCTGAAGACAAGACTGCTAGTTCTGCGATGTTCACAAATCGTCGACGCCGGATTCGACCACATTGATTATATTCGTAAGAGTATAAGCACGTCGAATCGACACCAGACTGTACGAACACAAGTATTCAAAGGTGATGTATATCTTGATGGTGAATGGGTTTGGCTGTCAGAATGCTGAACTCTGAAACTTACTTGTGAGTATCCAATCATAAAATCACTCGGCGTCCAGTATGCCGAATGTCGTAACTCGTAGCACCTTACTTCGCCGAGAAGGCTAATAAGATGACATATGCCAATAGGTAACCAGTCAGCCTCGACGCAGTGCTGTTTATCCAAACTGAAGGTGTTCCTCGGTCGGCTGATTCTACGACAACAGTGTTGTTTATCCAAACTGAATGTGTTCGCCGATTGCCTCCATAGTGCTGTTTATTCAAACTGAAGATGTGTCGGTGGGAAAGAGAAAATAAAAAGTCTCAAGATGTTTAAGAGGTTTTGCGCAGGGCAGTTGTGTGTTGAATTGAAGATCCTTTTAATGATGCACTCTACTCTCTATTTATAGCAA